TCTCTTTAGAATATTTGAATTGCCAGCATGCACTTTGGGGGTATTAGTAAGGAAAATAATGGTTACTTGAATGCAAACATGTGATAGCACTGTTAGTGATCTGATAACAGAGACGATTGCTAAGTGACTAGTGGACATAGAGTATAGACAGTGTGAATGTGCTAGACAAAAGGGATGATTCCTATTCAGGTTGAATGAAATAGTGCAGTGTGAGACATCATCACGCTAAGAAAAACTGCATGTAATTTAAAATTTATGAATTGTTTACGTCTGGGATTTTCTGTTTAATATGTTCGGACCGCAGGTAAGTGAAATCATGCAAAGTGAAACCGTGGATAAGGAGGGGGTTACTGCATTTCACATTAGGGAGCTCTTCTGAGAAGTGGCTCAAAGACTCAGATTTGTATCCTTTTGTGGTTCTGTTCCTTCCAATCCTCAGCTGGATCTTCTATATGTGGCCAGTTAATGTGGGAAAATAGGGAGGATTTTACAAGAGCAGTTTTAGGGCATGACTGGAAGTGACAATGTTACTTTTGGCCCAAAATTCAGTTATAAGATATACTTGTTGCAAAGAGGATTGGAAAATGTAGTCTGGTTGTGTGCCTGGGAGAAAAAGGACATGATTGGTAATCAGTTTAACCTGCTGCAAATACTGGGCTTCATGATGATTACAAACCACTACTGAAAAATGTTTAGATTATAGTGAGTATTTGCTACTTAAGGACAAGCATTACAGGCAGGCCTTATTATACAATTGCATACCTTTTCCATTTTTGTTTCCATTTTCCCTAAGATCAAACCTACATCACCAATGAAACAAACTGAATAACTCTGGCTGTATCAGCTGAAGTGCATAATGCATGTAAAAATGTCAATTACTCTTGTTTACTTGACAGAATATGAAAACAGATGATACTAGTCTCCTGTTTCTGCCTACAGAGAGCAGTAAATATCAGTTGACAATGCATGAGAGATACATGACTTAAAGGGGTAGGAACCAATTGCTATGAGTGTGAAAGCAATTCTGTAAGGAGAAAACTATTAGTAATTCTTCCAAGTTATTTTTTCACAAAGGAACTGGGTGAAACCCTGATAGTTTAAATTATGTCAGGTATATTCTTAGGAAATAGAATGGATGGTCTCTAGATTATAGCAAAACCAGAATTGCTTTTTTATTAAATATATTTTTTACTAGTGAACTGGTGCATGAAATTCATGCACATTAAAAGGGAATTAATTAGAGGAACTATTTTAATATTGCTGTTTGCACTTTCTCTATAATAAAAGTGTCAGAGATGAAAGAAAATTAGTAAAATGTATATGAAAATCTTCCTCCTGTTAGAGTCTGGGGCGTGCCACTGGAACCAGAGTCAAGTCCCCGCCCACACACATGAGCCTCGATATCACACGAGACCCAGACCCAGCCAGCCCCACCCCCATTGGGCTAGATCCAGATCTGGGCAACCCCACCCCCATCAAGCCCAGCCAGGTGGGGGGGCGTGGCCTCAGGTTGCCTGGCCCGGTGCCAGGGGGTGCATCTTGAGGTCCCCCAGCCCAGGCCAAGGTGGGGGACACACCTTGAGGTCCCCTGTCAAGCCTGGCAGGTGGGAGGCATGACCTCAGGTCCTCCAGCCCGGCGCCGGGGCAGGGGGTGCAGCCTGAGTCTCACTCCAAGCACTGCCAGGTGGGGATGCAGCCTTAGGTCCCTGCTGATTGTCATGGGATTCTGCTGTGGGCACAGCCATCTTGATGGTTATGGCATGGTGGTCAATTTGCATATTCCCTCTTTATGCAAACTGTGACCTCCTGGTTCATAGATTAATGCTCACCCACTGAGCCATGCCAGCTGGGCCAGATTTCCTCTTTTAAAAAACAATCTGTATCCTTTCTATCTCCTTTCCCATATCAATTTACAATGGATAGATGGGATCTGGGGGGAAAGGGGACATGGCCTGGCTAATGTGTGACTACAGAACATTAGGCATATACAAGTGTTCCTTTTCTGGAACTGTGAGAACTTAGGGAGCTTGCAGAGTCCTAGAGAATGGGCTTGGGGAGGTCTATAAGTTCTAAGCAGAGTGCCCAGATAAGGAGAAAGGAAAGACATTCCGCAATTGTGGAAAAGTAAATTGTAAGTGCGTTAAGCAAATAAACTTAAGGCCATGCCTGTAAAACTAACTGGGACACTGCTCAGAGCTACCTCCTACCTGCTTTCCAAAGTATAGAGGTGTCTTCGTTGTAAGGGGCAGAGATGGATGAGCCTTTGTTTTTCTTTTTCTTTTTTATACTCACCTGAGGATCTATATATATAAAAGGCTAAGTGACTGACCATCTATCTGACCGACCAACTGGCTGGTACATATGATGTGCACTGGCAATTTAAAAATAAATGTTGACTCATGCATGCACAATGTTTGTCCCCTTCTGACACTGGCTTCCCATTTAAATTAATTCAAAGGTAGTTTCCTGTGATGCCAGCATTTGTGATGACTATTAATAAATCATAAGGACAAACTCTAGAGAGAGTAGGAATATTTCTACCTGAACCCATTTTCGGACATGGTCAGTTATATGTTGCTTTCTCTGGAGTTCAAAGAGCATATAATGTTATAGTTTCATGTGCTTTTAGATATAGTTCCTAAATAGTTTTTAGAAAGCTATTGCCCTCTAAAATATTAAAACTAGTTAATAAAATGAGGACAAATGCAAGTAATTATTTATATAAGTGTTTATGTAAATTATTTGAATAAAGCTAAAATGTAATGAGTTAAATTTCTTTAATCTAAATTTCTAAAACAAGCTCTTCAATAGTCATCTAGTTGGCAAAGAATCAATACCAGGCTTCATATATATTATATCTGAAACTATATGTTGTTATATCATGTTGTTATTGTTTATTGATTTAGCAATTTATGTACTGTTTTCATATACATTTTACTAATTTTCTTTAATCTCTGATACTTCTATCATAGAGAAAGGGCAAATAGCAATATTAAAATATTTCTTCTAACTAATTTCCTTTCAATGTGCATGAATCTATGCACTGGGCCACTCGTATAAATATAGTTGACTAGAGACCCGGAGCACGAAATTCTGTTCTTGCTGAGAGGGGGTGTGGAGGGTTGGTCCCTCAGTCTGGCCTATGCCCTCTTGCAAACTCTTACTTAAATGCTTCCATGGTTCCAATTCCTTTCCATGCTCCAAAGCAGTATCTGTGTCTGTTGTCAGCAATGGCAGTGTGGTTGCATTTGTTCACAGTCACCTTCTGTTTTTAGGATAGAGAACAAAAGACAGTCTCTAAGCCATCAGTAGAACATCCTTAGTGCTGCCGTTGAAGCAGGAGAGGCTTCACCACCACCACTGCTCTCACCATCTGTCAACCTGGCTTCTGGCTGAAGTAGTACTCCCCCTGTGGGAGCACACTGACCACCAGGTGGTAGCTCCTGTGCTGAGCGTCTGCCCCCTGGTGGCCAGTGCACATCATAGCGACCGGTCGTTCTGCCGTTCAGTCTATTTGCATATTATCCTTTTATTATATAGGATTTTAGAGAGAGAAGAAGGGGGAGAGGGAGATAGAGAGGGAGAAAC